GTGCTCAGGGGATGAAGATCTCCTTGGTGCAAGGCTGGTCCCTGCATCCCAGAAGAGCCAGATCCCACCGCTGGGACCTTCCTCCTCCTTCTCGTGCCTCAGTTTCCCTCAGTGTAGAGAAGGGTTAATGCTGAGAGCCTCCTGCACTAAGACTCCTTGCTGCTGCCACAGTGGAAGAGATGCTACACAAGAAAAAAGCGTTAAATGCTTCATCTGGCTTATTTTTTTTTCCTCCCCACCAAGTTGAAGGAGCTGACAGGAGGAGCCAGTCACCACATCTCCAAACCAACCCCCCTCCGAGTCCTACACGGGGCCTGCAAGAAGCTCTTGCCTTTTATTCAGCTTTTCTTCTTTCCTTCCTCTCTTCCCCTGCCCCGGCCATGCGAGCAGAACAGCCGGAGTTGAAGGAAAACAGAAAACAGGGGTAAAAACTCAGTGCCATGAGCTGGATCCTGGGGCTTGACAGCAGGAGCTGAGCCCCACACAGACCTGGTGCTGGAGCTGGAATTTCTCTGCGTTTGGGGAGAAATGAGGATAAACCCCATCAATCCTCTGGCAAGGATGTCCCGTGGTGGTTTCTGACCCCGTGTTTGCCATGGGGAGCTGCATCCCTTGGGTTTCTGTAATTAAAAGGGTTGGGGTAACATGACAGGTTTGTAAATCACACTGAAACCCATGCGCTGGGCGAAGGGGTGAGTTTGGTGGCACCAAACTTGCACCTCCCGTTTGGAGCAGGCTCCTCTCGAAGCAGGAGGAGCTGGAATATCCCCAGCCCGAGCAGGAGGGAAGGTCACCCTCTGTGATTTCCAGTGGTCTCTGAATCATAAATGGTTTAACCAAGGTCGTGCGATGACTTTGGGGATGAGCCAGGCATGAAAAACCAGATTTGCTGCCTTGTTTCTTGCAGAAGAAGCAGATCAAGAGACTCAAACTTTGGGGTCAACTCTGTAGCCCAGGGTTTTATCTCAAATTTTGGGGTTTGAGTCTCTGGAAAGCAGAGGATTAACCCCAGAGCAGATGCAGCCATGGATCCCAAGAGATCCCATCCGCATCTTCGCCCCCATCAGGCTCCCAAAGCAGCTCATCCAAACGTCGAGTCTGATTTTTCACTGTGGAAAACCCTTGGTGGACCCCCCTCGAAAAACCCCACAAACCCTCATCCCCATCAGAGCAAGGAGGGTTGAGGATGAGAGCTGACATGGAGCCGGTGCGATGCAATTTTTAGCAGCGGCGTTATGCAACTCGGGAGAAGGGATGACTAATGTGCAAAAAGCTCCTTCTAAAACAACCCGGCCCCAAACGGGAGACGGAGGGATTTCAGTGGGAGGCACTGAACTGGTGAAAAACCCATCGCAGCTTCTCCCTCTTCCTCCCCTCCGCCTTCTGAACAAGCGATTTGGGGGATGCAGGAGGGGGAAAACAGCACGTTGGTGTTTTTTTCTTTTCGGCGGGGTCTGGGTTGCTTTGGGGGAGCGAGTTAAGAGGGGTTAATCCCCTGGATAAGATTACAAGAGGAGCTGTAGTGGATCAGAAGAGCAGAGCAGTAAATAGCTCTGTAGCCCAGGGTTTTATCTCAAACAGTGGCCAAAATTGGCTGCCTAGAGAATAGGATAAGAATAGAGCAAGAATATACGATACTTCCCCCGAATATCCTCCCAGCCGCTTATCTATGTTTAGGGATCTGGCGAGGAGCGCACGTTCCAGCCGAGGTGAAAAGCAGCGGGAGAAAGCGAGGTTGGTTGATTTATTCTTGATGAACCGAATAAATCAATAGGCGTCCGGCTGCCTCTGCCCGAGTCCTAAAATGGCATTTTAAAGAAAAAAAAAAATAAAATAAAAAATCAACTGGTGTGCAGCGACTGGCAGGGAAGGGAGCTCGCTGCCCAGCCTGGAAAGGAGAGTGGGATGAGTGTGTCCAGCCCCCAGCAGCATGATGCTGTGGTCGAGCAGGAATATATAGATAAATCACTGAGCTTTTTTTCGCCTACGGATAGCGCGATGCCCAGGGGAGCCTCGTGCTCAGGGGCATTCGTGACAGTGGGAATGGGATCAGCGCCGCCACGGAGAACTGATGTCCGAGTCCTTGCATCCCTCTGTCTGTCTGCCAAGATTGGGAATGGGGATAAACCTGTGACCCCCTCGCAGAAAACAGCCTCATCCTTTGGATCCGGGTGCTCTGGGGACAGTTGTCCCCTCCAGCATCCACCCAGCGGCAGCTTCTTCCTTCTCCTTTCCTCCTGGGAGACTCAGGGTCCGGCGCTGCGTCGCCATCCCGGCGTGCGTGCAAAGTATTAATTGTTCTTGTTGTTGCAACAACAGCTCCTGTTTCTCAGGAGATGCCTGAAAGAGCTGAGAAAATAGAAAGGCCTGTCAGGCAGCCGGGAGGGAGGTGAAGATGTCAAGAGAGTAATTGCTCTACCCAGAAGCAGCCTGTTTCTGGCTTCCCCAGCACTGCCAGGAAAAATCTTCAGTGCTTATTTGATGATGATAATAATAATAATAAAAGAATTGAAAATAAATAGCAACCCCCATCCCTTGCCCGTGCTGACGAGGAACGGGGAGAGCAGAGGCAGATGCAAAATAAGATGCAGTTGAGCTTATAAATAGGTGCCTCCCAGCTCCCAGTCTGTTACTTCATTACCTCCGCCCGTGCAATCGTTCTTTACGCTTTTTCCCCCCGAAAAAGTAAATGGAGGCTCAGAAAGTGTTTTGCAAACCGCTGGGGAGCGGGTCGTGCTCTCCCTCTCGAATGGGACAGGCTGCGGTGCGGAATATGTGCCGGTGGCTGTGAAAACAAATAAAATCCTTTGGTTTTGGGGAGGGAGAGGGGAATGAGGACCAGCTCTGGGTTGCAGGGAGGATGCCCAAGACTTTGCAGATGTGCAACCCCCTTCCTGGGGCGGCATCTCTGGTGCTGGCAGCGTGGGGGCTGCTGCCATCCGCTGGCTTTGTGCTCCATCATCATGACTTTTTCACGCGGTGTGTTGCGGGAGATGCAGATGTTGACTGGGAGGTGGTGGACTCCAACATCTGGGGAGCACAGTGTGGGGCTCTGCCCCTCAAACCCCAGCAGTGAGAAAGAAAAGGACTTGTGAAGTGGCCTTCAGCACCTTCCGAGCCTCTTGTCTGCAAACAGATCTTCAGTGGAGGGGTGGAAAAAACCAGAAGAATAAAAAAAGAAAGAAAGAAAAAAGGAAGAAGAAAGGAATCCCAATGGCAAACCAAAGCAGAGTTAGTGTAGGACCTACCCAAACGTTGTGCTGGAGCAGCTGGAGGCTGGCAGCCCCTGGAGGCAGCGCTTGAGGGTGTTCGGGGAGATGCTTGTGTGGGGAAAGTGGGTTTCCGTGAACCCACCCTGGCTGGAAATTTCGGAGGAGCGATGGTCCTGGCTGCAGGAAACCTGGGGGGATCCTGGGGGCTGTGCCAAGCCCCAAGGAGGGGGTGCCGAGGCATCACCCCGCTCTCCCCGAGCAGATCTGCACCCAAACTCTGTTTGGCTGAGGAAGGAGCCCGACGCCATGGAGGGGCTGCGAGGGGCTGGGACCCACCGGCGGGGAGCCATGGGGGGGCTGGGAGGGGCGGGGACCCACCGGCGGCGAGGAATCGAGCAGGGAGCCAGGAGCCGAGGCAAGAGGGTGGTTTTCTGGTGGTGGCTTCGTCTGGGGGTTAGAGATTAAACAACAACGTCAAAAAATAAATCTCGGCTGTTGTTATTTATTTTTAGTAGCGCTCTTTTTTTTATTACTTTTTTCTTTTTATTATTTTTTTTTCCCGAGGCTGGGAAGCTGGTTT